GGAAGTGGAAAGTATCTCCTGAGAGAGTACATGCGAGTTACTCTCTGTGTGTTTGAAATGGTCTGTAAAAACAGGAACTTTTGGACTTCATCAGAAATAAGGAGTTGGTTTCAGACTATGTCCAAAGTGCTATGTTTGCATACAAAACACATTTCAATGCCAAAAACACATTTGGTGCTCTAGCAGGCATAGCATGGTGTGACTCCTTCAAAAAGAGTTGCTGGGTTTTGGATCTGTCATTTTTACCAAAGAAAAACATGTGAAGGAAGTGACAGTTGGAAAAAGCATGGACAGTCAAGTTAGGAATCATTCCTGTTGAAGGGTAGGGATGATAATTAAATTACATGGGAGGATCTACTCTGCTGTTAGTATATTTAGGCTCTCAGAACAGTGTTAAATCTGGAGGCAACTTTTGGGAAGGAGTGTGGGGTGTTGCAAGTGAGAGTGACTGAGGGTCACATAGGTCTTAAGCAGTAAATAATGAAACTTCACTGCTGTACCTAAGAGGCAGTGTACTGGCACAGGCTTGTGCACAGCACGTTAGGCTGCCACGCAGGATGCCTGCATCCTAAATCAGAGTGCTAGTTTGAGTTCTGGCCACTCCACTTTTGATTCAGTGTTTTTGATAATGGGTCTGCAAAAGCAGTGGATAATAACCCAAGTGCTTGGTTACCTGCTACCAGTGTGGAAGATGAGGAAGGAGTTTCTGGCTACTGGCTTTGGCCTGGCCTATCCCCGACTATCTGGAGAGTGAATTTCAGATAAAAGATCTCTCTTTCTGTGTCTCCCTTTCCCTGTCAATATGGCTTTAAGTAAATCAATCAATTAGCCAAACAATCAGCTGATACTTTATTATTATTTTTTTAATCAACTGATACTTTAGAAAAAGAGGTAGAGTGGCATAATAATAAAGAATTTGGGTTCAGAGAGATAGACGGGTACTTCACAAAAAGTTCATGGAAAATGTAATTGGATGGTAAAATGATGTGGTGCAAAAATATTTGAAATGTAGTTACAGTTGCTTTCCTGATGTGCATTTTCCATGGTCATTTTGAAGATCACTTGTACTCAAGTTGAACTCTAGTTTATGCCTTTTAGAGGCTGTTGGGAAAATCACTTAATCTTTGTGTATTAGTTTCTTTTACATAAAAATGGGAATTATAATACATTCATTTAGTATAGTCTAGTCCTTAGTATAGTGTATATATTCATTTAATATAGTCCTTAGAACTAAGGACTAAATATTGTAGTATCTAGCAAGATAGAATAAGTTTCTAGGACACAATTAACATAGTTATAACAAAGAGTTTACGATTATTATTTTTATTGCCACCAGGACAAAAGAAACCACTTTTCACTTCCCCACATGATACCAATGCCAACGTATCTTTTTATAATGCAAAAAATTCGAATGAGAGTCAAATCTTTCACATGAGCAAGAGATTACAGTCAATAATATACAGCCACATAACATTTCCACTGCCTTAAATATTGTTAACCGAAGTTACTATTTAAGTAACTGTCTATGCAGACTCTGGATATGAAGGATTTGCCTTTAATGGAAAATATCTGTTTCATCTAAATGTGAAACCCAGTGACACCAGCTGGGGTATCCTCCATGGATGCTTCCCTACTGAGCACAGAGTAAAGATGTAGATCGGAGCAAATTTATTCCCATTTTACATATTAGAGGTACAGCTGTGTAGAAGCAGGCCATGAAAAACGCAACCTCAATGATCCCCTTAAGCCCACAGTCATTTATCTCAGAAATGTTGTTGAGTTCCCTGAACTCTAAGGTAAGTAACTTGCTCTAAGCTGCTTTAAATCTTCTGTAGGGCATGAACTATTCTCATGCTTTGCGGCCTGTGCTTTGTGCTCCTGGCTTGTCTGTGAACATTACGCAGCATGCTCCAAGGAGGTATGGATCTGTGTTCTTCGGCTATATTCTCTGAGACAGGGATGGGGCTGGTTTCATAGGTGGAGGATAAATTCAAATTCAGCTGCAGCGCCTAATTGAAGGAAAAACAGCCCTGTAAGTACTGAGCTAGAGATGGAAAGAATGTACCCATTTAACGGAATGCTTGAATTTTTTCTTGATTTATTTTTCTTGATTCCTTCATTTACTGAATGCCACTCCATACAGCCAGTGTCATCAGCACTAAGGTATCTGGTGGCTAACACATTGAGGTACGCTGTTCATGGAACTGGTTCTCCTGCCACCAGGCACTGAACTGACAATACACAGATGAATGAGACTCACCCCTTCTCCATAAGGTAGAAGTTTGATAAAATGGAGAGGGAGAAAGACAAATAACAGTAAATGTAGTCAGGGCTATGTGGATACTGTGGCCTCTGAAGGTCAAAGAAGGTTTCCTGAGGAGAATCACTTTGAATATGAGCCTTAAAGAGTAGGTGGGAGTCAACAGTGTTTTTAGGCAGAGGGAGCAATTTTCACCCAGGAGCAGAGATGAGAAAAAATTGCAGGTGTCTCCATGTGGCTGTGATGGCCAGATGGAGACTCTGGAGAGACAGGTAAGGGTTGGATGATAAAGGGTCTTGGAAACTGAACAACTGGGTTTTATACTTTATCCTAGTTCACTTGGAAGCTAATGCTGTGTGGCAATTATGGAGTGGCATGAGCGCGTTACACTTGAAATGGAGAGAATGGTTTGGGATGCAGAGAATGGGCTGTCAACAAGGGTACCAGCAAGGAAATTAATAGATGGACAGTAATGTGATATAAGCAGACTTTGACAATAGAGATGAAAGGAATTGGATAGATTTAAACAAATGTTAAGGCACTGATTGCCTGGTAGGGGGTAGTAAGAAGGAAGGTGGAATCACAGTTAACTCACAGGTTTCCGGCAGGGGAAAGTGCATGGGAGAATATGTCATTCACAAAGAGAAGGGGCACACTCATGAAGAGGAATTCTGATTAGTTCAGTTTTGAACAAACTTGTTGTGGGTGTGTAGATGGAGATGAGAATAAAACTTGAAGATCAGGCTGTAGCTACAGATTGAATTTATCTGCACAAGGATGGATTGGTTGTGGGGTAGCACCCTGTAAAAACATTGGCATTTATGTGGCCATCACAGAGAATCCTGAACAGTGAAATCTAAAGGAAAAAGCAGGGTGTTATGAGGTCATGGAAAAGAGCGGGCAAATAAGAGGGAGGTGTAAGAAGGATGAAGCAGTTAATTTCAGAATCTGGTAGAGGTCATTCACAGTAGGTTCTGAAATTTGTCTATTGAATTCATGAACAAACATGCCATTCATTATTAGAGTGACCATCTGTCTGGGTTTGCTCAGAACTGACCCACTTATGCCATTTGTCCCAGCATTATGGCTAGCACCCTTTAGTGCTTAAGTTCAGATAATAGGTTGTATCATTGTCATTGGTTAGTGACAGCAGTTTCAACATTGTGTCTAAGATAGATTGCAGCAAGGATGAACTCAATGGAGAGACATGGGAAAAGTCAGCTTTTCCAAGGGATATGGTGAAGGTGTTGGAGAAGGAATTTTATCATTAAGAGGGCATTGAACTAGATATATTCAGATTTCTTGTAGCCCTGGAAATAGTTCATAGTATCACTTATTTACTGTTTTTATTATAATGGGCTCTTTAATTAGTGAAGCACAAAATTCAGTTTATTGTTCCATAGTACATATTATTGCCTTACAAATGTTTTCATAACATATTTTGTTAAAACTAAGTTTTTTTAAATTTCTTTATCTTGAAAATGCATAGCAGTTACTCAGTGTTATTGATCAACCCTGTTGTCGAAGGGCAATGTCTAACAGAAATGTGAGTTGGTTGCATCCCATAGGAAATTTCTGTTAGCCCTAAATTAAATAGGAAAATAATTTTATCTTTTGAAGAAATTTTTATGATGTAGCAGATTGGGGCTAAATATTCTGCCTCTCATTGCAGTTTCTGTTAGTGAAAAAAACTAGGGGAAAAAATCTATGCTTCCAGGCTTATATTTACATTTGTATGTAAAAGTCGCCCGATTTGGGGGACTTTTTGAGAGTTTAAACAGCTGTATGAAAATAAGAAAGGTGCAAATAGTGTGATGCTCTGCATGCTGTTTCAGTGGGGAAATTGTAAGGGGTGTCCAAGGAGGTCTTCAACAAAATATTGGAAAATGCATATTATGAAAAACTAAGCATAAACTTCAACCATTTTATTATCAAAATAAATTTGGCTTTCAATTCCATTTTCCCTGAAGTTTCATAATCCCCCTCATAACTAAAGAGATTGAAGTACTTAACTGTTATTAAGCGTAAGAGTATGTGGGGATGACAGAAAACTTATATAAAACTAAAGAATCTTGGGTTATCTAGTGTCAACCAAGACTTTTAAGGAGCATGGACTTCCTTACAGAAGGATGACAAAGGCAAAAAGCAAAGTCACTTGTGAAGGTCTGCCCTTTAATCTCCTTTCTCATTGCTGCTGAGTTTGAGTTCTGAGGTTAAGCTTGGAGCCATAAGCCTGCCAACCACACCCTTAGAGTTAGAGTTAGGATGTTAGGGTTGGGGTAGGTTGACTATTAACATACCCTTCTTACTATGAAGATTCAAATGGATAACTTAAAAGGTGGTGGAGGGGATATTTTTGTTTGAGAAATAAGGCTAATGGAAAGTTATAAATTATACTGGGGCCATAATTTTTTTGCCATATACTAGGCTGTGAATAATCCCATAAAACATGCTCTCACAGAGAAGAGTCTGTAATGTTTCTTAAGATAATTAAATAAAGCAGTATTCTGACTGTATGGAAAAAAGCCCAAACACATGTGTGTTATCTATTCATGCTGTAATAATAAAATCACACCAAATCTATCATTATAAGGATAATTTGCCATTTATTTTTTGATATCTAATCTAGTCAAACTCACAGTATAATACACTGTTTTTCTATCCCAGCTCTCATTAATTGACCCAAACATTCTTTGCATCATCTTTATTTTTGCTTTTCTTGTGTGCTTCTCTTTTTCAGTAAGCAATGGCCTCAGTTTTGCTTCTGTTTCGGATGGCCACCACCACATAGGGTCTGCATGTCCTGCTGCTTCCCAGGAGCAGCCAGAAGGCCGCCTGCCTGCCCGTTTCAGTGGCAATGTGGGAGGAGAAAAACTGTTGAATGGACCACCGTTTCAGCAGACCATCAGGTGAATGGGACCAGTCTCTATTCTTCCAAAATATCAGAAAGTAAGCCCTTGGGAAGGAGATTTGGCCACGATGACCCATTTACAAGCTGGGCTCAGTCCTGAGACTATAGAGAAAGCACGCCTGGAACTGAATGAAAACCCAGATGTTTTGCATCAGGATATTCAGCAAGTTAGGGACATGATCATCACCAGACCTGACATTGGATTTTTACGTACAGACGATGCCTTCATTCTGAGATTTCTCCGAGCCAGGAAGTTTCACCAAGCAGATGCCTTTAGACTCCTGGCCCAGTACTTCCAATATCGCCAGCTAAACCTGGACATGTTCAAAAACTTCAAGGCAGATGATCCTGGAATTAAGAGGGCCCTAATCGATGGGTTCCCAGGAGTGCTGGAAAATCGTGACCACTATGGCAGGAAAATCCTTCTGCTGTTTGCAGCCAATTGGGATCAGAGTAGGTAAATGTAGATAGTGTCTTTACTTGTTTTTTTTCCTTTCTATTGCATGTTTGGGGTTGAATGGCTTTGAAGGTAATGGTTTACATTATTGTTCTTTATTAACAGCAATAAAAATGAATTCAATTGATGCTTTAAAATCAAATGGTTTTAACATATAAACTGCTTTCTTGGATCCCTCCATGCTATTACTATCCTGTTTCTCCTGAAAATGTCAGTCTGTCAAGCTGCCCAGGTCATTGTGTCCCAAACCGAAAGTGCCCTCCCCACCCTGTCTGTTCTTTCATCCATTTGGTCATTACAGAATGAAATCTCAGGATTGTCCTTGATGACTCATTGATTTGGGCCTCATATCAAACTAAATGCCGAGTCATGTCTAAACCTCTAAGCTAAACCTCTCAGATCTCTCCTCTTCCTCCCACTGCCCCCGCCTTGGTTTAGATTCCCATTATTTATCACTTGTGTTACTGAAAGAGCCTGCTGATTGGCATTCCTGCCTCTAGTCCAGTCTCTTCTGAAAGTGTAGCTAGCATGAGCCTTTTAAAATTTGGTTACATGCCTCTCCCGGTCATAGTTGTTTAGTTCCCTTCAAGGCTTTTGAGTGAAAGTAAAATCCTGTAGAGTTCCCCTTGGACATTTCTCTTTGTCCTCAGCTGCTCCTTGTTTCCTGGTCCATTGGTTGGAAATATAAACCTTGCTTCCAACTAGTTGGACTCAGCTACCAGACCCTTAAAAAAGAGACCTCCTGTTCTAATTCCAACCATCCTGGACACCTCCTCTGTATTCTTACCCTAGTCTCAAGACTAATGTTTCTCTAGAGGTTTGTGTCTTCTGTGTATTTATGTCTGGTTCATGGCACAGTGGTGAGTGAGTGTTGTATGTGAATGAATGGATAAATCCATTTCCCAAATTGCTGAAACTTTTGTGTATTGGGGAACCATTAGTTTAATCTTTAAAATATATATCAAATAATCCTTCTGATACCAAAAGAGGATTTCCTATGGTATCTCTCCAATGCCTCATATCATTACTGTCTTATTACAAATGATAACTAGTGCAAGACACTTTAGCAATGATTGGCTATCTATTGGTTGATAATGTTGAAGCATGGCATGGTCCAGAACTTGCTGAGTCTATATTTGGGGTTGGGTTGTCTTTTCACATTTGTACTCTATTTCATAATGATATGTATTAATATGTCATGTTTGTTTACATATTACATTAACATGAGTAATTCTGAGTTTCTCATATTCCATTTCCCCGATAAGAATTATTTTTAGATGTACACATTTGTGCATCTATATCATGCACTCAACAAACATTTGGAGAATAAAACTTTGTGCCACTTTTTGTACTAAGGCACTTAGAGGAAAATAGTGAGAATACATGTCGCCTCTCAGTGATGATCCCATTGCAGTGGAGCAAATCCCTGGACAATCGATCGCAATGTACCAACTGGATGGTTCCATCTGAGACACACAAAGCATTAACCAAGGGCGTGAGCTTTAAATGATGGGGAAATTCAATAACCTAATATTGGCATGTGAGCGCTGCAAAGTTTGTGATGGGAAAGTTTTGATGATTCTGAAGATTAATCAAGCTGACTTAAATTGCACTAAACTGTATTCTAGATTTTCCAGCTGCTCACACAGATGATGCAAAGAATATTGCTAAGTAGTAATGTGCACATAAATAAGTGAACCATAGTGAAGTATTTTATTTAGGTCAACCTGTATCCCAAGATACATTATTAATAAGAAAAATTAAATCTCTGAGGAAATAAACCAAGTGTTTGTGATTATAGGAACCTTGAACAAATTACTTCATTTCTCTATTTCTCTTGGGTAAGTTGAGAAGTTTAAATGGTGTAATTCCAGAGATCCCTTTCAGCCATAAAGGCTCATGAATGTGAAGCTCTTTCAGCTGATCCTACGGATGGAGAGGGATTTTAAAATTCACTTAATGGGCTCTTAATTCACTAGGCATTTTAAAATAATCTCACTGTTTCTTCCTACTTCCTTACCTCAATTTGCTTCAAATTATGCAATATTATTTGTTCCAAAGCATGTCAGCTTTATGAAACAGGTGGCAATGATGAGGGGCTCCTCTTGGCAGGTAAAGTTCATTCAATGCAAGCAAACCTCTGTTTTAATGCAAATATTGTGATGTCATTTACTGCCTATATGACATTGAAGAGGGAACGTCTCTGAGACTCAGTTTCCTCATCTCTTAGGTGGGATGATGATAATGATGTCTGTTTAATAGTGTGATGGAGAGGATTACATTAAATAGAGCACTGAAGAAACATGGCCCCTTGTTTGGCACATACTAAGCTCTCATTAGGCACTGGCTTATAGAATTTTTACTAATATTCTAGAATATTAGAAGGAGAGGTAGAGAAAAAGATCCGTGCAGATTCACTTCTAAGTGGCCTCAATGGCTAGAACTGAACTGATCCGGAGTCAAAGAGCTTCTTCCAAGTTTTCCATCTAGGTGCAGGGTACTTTGGGCCATCTTCAACTGCTTTCCCAGTCCTCAAACAGGTTGATGGGTGGGAAGTGGGGGCAATTGGGATGTGAGCAAGTGCCCAGATGGGATCCTGGTGCATTATAAGGCAAGGATTTATCCATTAGGCTACCCACTCATTGTTTCTAGGGAGGTTTGCAGCTACTGTTCCATGTTCTCTCACACCCGGCACTGGTTTGATAGATATGCTGGAAACAGAAGTTACTTCAAACCGGTCAGTGTTCACCTACAGCCTTCTCTAAAGGACTGTGGTGCCCGAAGTCCTGCAGTTCTGCACGTGGGGCTACGCAATGGGAGGTGAGCTTTCATAAAGTTCTTTGTTCTGATGAAACTCCAGGGCAGTAGGTAGGAGATAACTCTAAGCTGTAAATCAGCCAGATGATTGAAGTTCATCTTTGCAAGAACATTAAAGACCTTTGAGTAGCAGGGTGTCTCCATGTCATTCAGTATGATGGTCCTCAGCCATAAGAACTTATGACATAAAGGGGACACTTTCCCTGTGTCTTCTTGTGGACAAAGAGAACAAGACAGTCAGGAAGACATTGGACTCTGTCCAGGACTATGAAATAATCCTGTTTCTGAAATCCCAAAACTTAGTGAGTCAGAACCAGTAAAGGGCTTGGTTGACCCTTTGTTCTTGGGAAAAACTTCCAGAAGCTCTTTGGCAGTGATACATCTTCCCGTTGGTATGGGTTTGAGAACAAACAAACTTGAGCTGAAGTGGAGAACAGTTATAACTACAAAACCAAACACCAAGTGCTACTAAGTGTTTAAAATATGCTCTGCAGAAATGCTTGCTCAGGAGAGTATCATTGAGTCATGTTTTATAGATGATGAAGTTGAGGTTTAGAGAGGTTGGATAATCTACCCAAAGCCACACATCGTATCAGTGGCTAACATTGTCTAGTTTCTCACCTGAATTGAGCTGCACTGCTTCTCACTGGAGCTCCTGTGCCAAACCTGGGGGTTTCTGATTCTGATGTTCAGATGTCACTTGTGCAAGGAGCAAGTATTCATCAGTCTCTTTAGGTCTCTGTTGTCTCAACAAAGACCTCAGAGCTGAAAGGCAAATCCTCATATCACCTACTTCAGTGTCATAGGAACCCCTATGAACTGAATGTGGAGAATCCTTATCCAAATGTTTTTTCTAGCTGTTTGACTATACTAACAAGGACAACAGAAACAAAACTGATTTCTTAAGTCCTCAGATCAGTAAAGGAAACTGCATTGCTTGGGACTTGTTACATAAAGTGATTCTAACCTGAGCCTAATTTAAAACAATGATCAAAGACGCCAACTTTCCCACCTTTTGTTACTTGCATTAAGATGATTGCTCATGGGGCTGGCACAATGGTGTTGTGTGTTAAGCCTCTAATTGTGGTGCAGGCATCCCTTATGGATGTTAGTGTGTATCCCTGCCACTCCAGCTCCAATTCAGCTTTCTGTTTATGGTCTGAGAAAGCAGAGAAGGATAGCCCAAGGCCTTGGACTTCAGCACTGATGTAGGAGACCCAAAAGAAGCTCCTGATTTCAGATCCCTCCTTCTCTGTCTTCAAAATATGCATTTTAAATTAAAAATAAATAGATAAATCTTTTTCAAAAGATACTACTCATATGCTAACTTTCATTGGCCTGAGAGAACCCCAACTCTGCTACCCATAGCTCCATGAACTTGTCAAAAGATATAACCTCATGAGTCCTGTCTCCTTGTTTGACAATATGTGCTCCATGGAGCTATGAGGATGAAGAGAGGTACCCACAGGAAAGGGCTGAACATGCAGATCGTATTTCCTTTCTTCATTATTAAGGTATTTTTCTCCCATTTCAACCTAATCCAGAACCTAAAATGCTCCAGCTGTGCTTTGTCACTCAGTTTAAAGAGCTCATTACATAGACCATATCGCTGTTGAGTATCTGAAACTGCTGATGGATGAAGGAATGAAATCAGAGGAGTTTACAATGTGTTCATATTGCTCTCTGGATGTGTCTATGGTCAAAGTATTCTTCAAATATTTTTTTAAAATTGTTCTACTGCCACAAAAACTCCTTATCAGACATATCCCACCACTCACATTTTAATTCCACTTAGTCCAGGGCTAAGCTGCATTCTGTCTACTGTCAACATTCTCTTGGGATTGATCTCATGTCCTTAAAAGCTTGCCTGTTAGGAGCCATCTCCCCTATGGATTGAAGGAGGCAGTGAGGTCTCTGCTTACAGATAATGTAGCACTAGGTGTCCATGCCCAACAAGGTTGCTGTGCCTTGGGAGGATGTGAGGCATTATCTAGCTCCAATAATACTATTACGAAGGTGGTGGATTTGCAGCTGAGCAAGCCAGGTAAAGACTGGAGAAAAAGCTTTTATTGATGGAATATCTTTCTAGGTCACCTGTTTATAAAACCCTCACTTAGAAACCCAAAAGTTTAAAAGACATAGCACTCATTATTTTGTAGACTAAAGGAAAAACAAAATAAAAC